GTTGGGAGAGGCAACGAGCAAACCTTGCACATTATCGTGTCTTGTTTCTGCGCCGCCGGAGACGCTTGTGTAAGCTTAAGAACGACGAGCGGCCCTCATTTTAGTAGAAAGATGTGTATGCTTGTAGGATATTTTTCGAAGGGTGCCACAATTACGAACAAAATGCCCACAGGGCATTGACGCCGTTTCCCCAAACCACGTGCTTAACAGATAACCACTGTTAGAATGAGCATATCCAGTTGGAGATAAAAATAAGCTTTCGCAAGCAGACGATTCCTGTACAATCATGATGCAAGTGCAAACTTATGCTCAACAAGACGTATGAGCCCGAAAGCCAATTCAACATCCCAATAATGAAGTAGTCGTATCTCATCGATGCAAATCAACATAATAATTCCTTCATCAAAAATTGACTTATTCGGTCTTGTTAGTTTTATACATGCATGAACAAGATACAACCGTGCGATACGCTGCATGCAAAGGAGTAAAGACGGAAGCAGAACGCGGCAAATCCTGGACACTCACATCGGCGGTTCCGTGAGAAGGAAGGAGAAAGAGAACGACAGAATAGCGGAGAAAGAAAGCGGACTAAAGGTTAGGTGTATTCGTTTTGCCGCGACGAGGTGAAGTCCCTCGAGCGCTTGTGAAGTGTATTTAGTTTCACAAGTTGCGAGATTCCGGTGTTTTCCTGCAACATAAGCTAGAAATTAAGAAGGTACAGACTTTACATTTGATATTTTGCTCCTTCGTTGTGCATATAATTCAGCGATATGGACTCATCGGTACCGCCAACTGAGATCGCCACTGTCCGCGCTATGCTCCGCCGTCCTCAACGTATGGGACCTTTACCTATATATATCGTTATCTTAACTTAATGCCTCTGTGTGCCGGTAGTCTTACTAAGTGCCGTAGAGACTAATACAGAAAACTGAACCCAAAACACATGGGGTTGCCGGGAGATACAGAAGTGGTGGCACACTTTGGTGAGAGTGGTAAACTCGGTGCAAACATTTAAATTTAAATCAGTAATGTAAGTAGCTAGACTAGGTGGCGCTAAGTACCACCCAATTTATGTTCTAAAAGAATATTTTTTGATTTTCTCACGCCACAGACACAAGTTCTTCGAGGGAAGTGAGGCGGCACACGCCACTGCCCACGCTTATACACACCGGGCCGTTTCTCAATAGGGCAACGACACGCAAACCCCATGCACTTTCAGACCCACTCCTCTTCAGAAATACGCGGACAACCTCGCTCATTACCGCCACGAACGACGACAGTTCCCGCCACCGCATCCCCACCTATCCAGAGCCGAAGCGACCGCTTTTCGTCGGCTATAAACTAACTCATATTGCCACGGCACTCTACCGCACGCCGTGTACCCCACCCTCTATCCTGCTACTTGCAATTTCTGCCCCCAGCCTGGCACCCTGTACCACATGGTCTGGGAGTGTCAGCAAACCCCATCCCTTGCCCCCAACCCTCACGCAACTATACGAGCAGTGGGTGTGCCAGCTGACCAGCTCCGACCTCTCAACCCAGCGTTGCCTAGTGGAGAGGGCCCGGACAGCCAGCGCGGACCAGGGCTTCCCGGACTAGAGGAGGCCCCCCACCGGGCGGGCGCCCAACCATCAGCGCCTGAAGCTCCATTTATTAAAAGTTTATTCATCCTCCACCTCAAGCCGCCATTGCGCTTCGGGTACCTTTAATATGCACCCATATAGATGCATTAATACATTACGCATTACGCATACCACAAGCATCAGCTCATACAACGAGCGCATGCACACACACACGACATATACAAACGTCCAATACAACAGACTAACGCGATCATCCACTTCCAAGCTCCGCCCTTCCGCTTTTTATACACGTCATTTTGAATGTACGGATTTTTTCTGGGGTTCAGTAATGTCATACCCCTAAAGGTATATTGAACGGCTCAGGAGATGAATCTTTTAGTAAAAAGTAAACGCCGATGCCGTAATTAAACGAAAGCAAATAAAACAAGCCCCTTCATTGGGATTCAAGCCCAAGTGTTTCCTTCCACGACCAGCACGTCGAAGCCAGTGTTGAGAGCGCAGCTCTTAGGCGCCCGTTTCCGGCTTGAGCGGCGTCGCCGTCGGCGTAACCGCGGGGTGCGTTATGGGTAAATTTCCCCGCTAGATCTAGCGGAAAACTTTCCCCGCTAAATCTAGCGGAAAAGCTTCCCGGCGACTTCTAGCGGAAAAATTTCCCCGCTAAATCTAGCAGAAAAATTTCTCTGGGGGGTCACGTGACCCCCCCCCCCCCCCCCCCCAGAACACGTGACCCTCAAAGTACCCTTCCCTCCTCCTCCTCCAGAGCTGCGCTCTAATTCGACGCGTGCGGCTGCAATTTTCTTGAATTAATCTCTGTAGAGGGAGCATTCACTCAGCAGGAAGCGATGGTTCACGGGCAGATAAATTGCCTTTCGATCAACATGAACGCAGTCAAGGCCGCGACTTCCGGCAGATGTTAAATGTACGGAGCTACGCCGTGGAGAGCTCGAAAAACTCTAGCGCTCCTCCCAGCACGCCACTTGGAGGGCAGTTTCTCCAGGAACCGTAGTAAATCTAAACAGCAAAACAAAGGAAAGCTTTTTTTTGTCGATTTCACCCAACATCCTCCCTTAATGCTAAAGTTTAAAAACTCTAAATATACTTACTTCCCGTCATATTTTAAGACTGTTCAGTCTTTTCCCCATAACGCATTCGCCCTCGGAGACGAGACAAATGGACACCGGAGACGACAGTCACATTGGCCACTGTACAATAGGAGCTACGGTTGAGGCCAGGTTTTCAACACAACTATCCGCAAGTCGAGCGATTGCACCGTAAATTCTCAAGTGGTCTTACACGCTTTAATGTAAAGCAGAATGTCTACCTGTACACTCCGCCCTCTCCGACCACGGCCCGACCAGCGGCGTCAATGCCCGACAGTTTACGTCATCTCATCTTGCTGTTACAACACTAATGAGCGAACACACAGTCACATCGGCGACAATCCCATTTTTCGTTCACAAGAAACAATCCGCACAACATTGTCATCGTGATGTTGCTGCTATGTTGCTGACAAGGATAATTACAAAACCACGTTTATTGCCGGCTGGCACTCGGCATCGGGAAACATAACCGAACACAGCGCAAAAGTCACGTCGGAAACCGGCAACAAAACCTGCCTGTCGCAGTTTCTGTGGTTTTCATAAAGTTACGCTGTTCGCAATCCGAAGGCGGCCATCTTAGCCCAGTGTATGAAGCGCTGCTGGCACTGCTCCGGAACTTCGTTGTGTCTAACGGCTTCGTTTGCTCGTTTGGCAAAATTAGTGGTCAAAACGCAAATGCAACCCAGATGTCCTGCACGTTTAGATTTGGGAACGGAATTACAGGTGGCCTTCGCTGCCGCTGAAGCTGAATACACTCAATGTTTATTAAACAACGCGCGCTACATGCTCGAAAAACGAAACCGAGAGAAGATGAGGCGAGAGGGCAGAACTTTTTCCCCGTCTGCCTGGAAAAGGAGAAAAGCGTCTCGTTCGTCCCTCCTTCTCGTATCCACTTCGGGGCGCGTCAGTAGAAGGGAGGAAAACGCGCCATTCCCACCGTTTTCCTCTTTCTTTTTTTTCTTAGAGTGCATTGTTGTATAAAGATGGTCGGTTGAGTCGCCGCCATCGTTGCCATCGCCGCCACGCCGTATCGTTGCGTTTCTCATGTTGCGCAATCGGTCAGCAGCCCAAAATTGAAGAACACCGTCGCCACCGTCCTGCGAACACCCAAGCTCGAAGGCCCTCGGCGGCGTCCCGCGTCTCGAAAAACTTCACTTCTTATATTTTGTTGCTGCCGGGCGCATGGGCAACTTAAAAGCACGACACTTAGGCACCTCAAGAGCATATATCCATCACGAAACTAGTTCCTATAGACAACCAAGAACCGCCACGCACCCACCCGAGCAAAAGGTAAACATAGGAGAACCGGAAGTTTCTCCCCCCTGTCATAACGGCCGCAAGTGGCACTCATACCCTGCGTACAGCACACTGCTTTTTGAAATCAAAATAGCAATTCGTCTAATATCAAGAGCTTATACTCCATCAAATGAAGAAATATTTCATAGACTATCAATTTCGCTACCGACTCAGATGAACTTCCTAAATTTCCGGTGAAAAGGTTAGTGGAAAGTGGAAAAAGAAACAGACACCAGTGTCACGTTCTTCTTCCGTTCCTCATTTCACTCCTGAGTTTCCTGTATCAGACTCCATGCAAGGTGGTCAGTCGGTCTTACTATCAAAAAACATGGGTGTGAAGCAGTTTCGACAGGCCGAGGTCACCCCGGATGTTCCCATGCCTGGCTCTTGCTTTAAAAGTAAGAACTAAGATACTTTGGTTCCTGCTGTCGTTTGTATGCACTCTATCGCATCTATTACCAGATATATGTGTGCACCAGTAATTAAGAAGTCTGGCAGCAATGATTACGTGAATTCTGAAAGTAATCAGACAATTAATTGTTACTCTTACTGCACTTTTCAATTATTTTTGATGTCGCATAGCCTTCTAATTCAAGTGTATGCACTTAGGGTTAAAGTATTTCTAATAATAATCGTTTTCTTTTTCGGTAACACCTACGAGGTTAATGACCAAAATAAAACCGTGCAGCTGTGCCCGCTTATTATTTGTTTCTGTGGTCCCGAGCAGGGCCTTACCACTTTGTCTATCAAGCTACCCGCGTACTGCCGCTGTTTCTTGATTGACACAACCGGGAACGGCTAGAGCTTGTCAGCAAAAAAATACGCAGTGTTTTTCTATAAAACAAAAGTTGATATACACACTGTGAAAGTTCAGTCACCTTTTGAGCTCAATGAATACTCCTGAGAACATGTCATCGCCATATGTTTGTTTTAACTTCAAACTTTCCGAGAAATAAAAGTCCGCTACGTCTTTTCATATCATTTTAGAAGGGTGAAGAACATTTATCCGTAAAAAGGACGAATCTATTCGGCTTCCTTTGCAACAGTATGCTTCTCATCTTCAAGTGCGCATATTTCTCGGGAATTCTCCTGCGTGTCGTCCATTCAGGTGAGCCGTATAATAGAGGCCTATACCACAGTTGTTTATCAGACGCTACGTGCGAGCTAATACTTTGCGCTAGCTCACACGTAGCTTGAACTGCCTGATGTGTGGGGATATTAATACGTGAATATAAACCAGAAACTCTGGCGCCTGTTGAAGTGAAATTTGACAGAAAGCTAGAAAAAACATCTTAATATATATGTCGGCGACTCCAGGCTTCGGCAAAGAGCTCTTGACCAGACGATAGCGTCCTTAATGTTTACAATCTCTTGGTCAGTACCGAATTATATGGTCATGACAGGATGAAAAAGGGAGGACGTGTCTTTCGGATGATCGGTCACCAGCACGCTCTCGCAGTGTTGCCTTCAGCCGTGGTTTGGATGATGAGTGTACACGCTGAGAGTTCACAAGACGCCGACGCGCTATCGAAGATAGGATGTTCGCATTGCAGGCGGCGCCACTGAAGGTTCTCCCTTAAGGGTGGTCAAATTGCCTATTTATTATGCAAAATACAGTCTGTAAGCATCAGTCAGTTCATGTTAACCACGACACCCGTGGATCGATTGCCGCCTGCAAAGATCGTTCTTTAACTAACTCGTTGCCATGCGGTATTCGAAGCACAGATCACGTGGTGACTTTCGTTAGAATTTTTTTGCAGACTGTCTTTGCGGATCCCGTATAAACAGTGTGACCCCGGCGTTAAGTTTACATTCCGTCAGCAATTATACCAGGAACGCCGAAACAAATTTTGAAGGAAGAGCGTGGCGTCCGTTAATGTATCATTGCTGCCTCGAGGCCCTTCCCAGGCACGAGCAGCTACGACTACATCTATAACCACGTAAAAATGATCGGGACGTGTAAAAATCCCTAAACGTTTCAAGCGTCTGTGCGTAATCGCCATGTCGCGGACGAGCCACCCGCGTTGAAGGGACCCTGACAGGATACTCATGCAGTCCGATGTTTTTATTTCAACATAACCTATGAAGACTCAACTACCCAGCACAACATTTGCGGTTGGAAATTCATATTTTTTTTTCGCTCGAAAACAGTCGGTCGAGAATTGGCAGGTCTCAGGCGGGCTCACTTTTTTTTTTTTTTCCCACGGCCACGTGCCGCTGAAACTGACGCCTCCCAAATATATTCAGAGTCATGGGTTATCTAAGGCACACACTCAAAAATAGAAAAAATATGAACCCCATTGCATGTGGCTTCTTAGAAACTAAATACGTTGATCAAAAATTTGTTGCACATACCACACGAAGTAGATGCACACGTCATTCTCAATATTTTCACGAATGACGATCAATGAGGCGACGATTGACTGAAAAAAACTAAACGTTTACTGGGGCGAACTTGTTCCCAAACAAAATATAAAAAGGCTAGCGTTGCAGGCGTCGATGTCTGCGTAATATCAGGATCGAGCGCTGGGGCGAGACTGACTCCACAAGGTCCCACGCGGATCCTTTTCTGTAGTCAGCATCTCGACAATCCGGCCCAAAAGGTTTGAGCGTCCAGCGTGTGGGTTGAGAATGAACAGGCACTTTCGAGAACAAGAACGAAGGACTAAATGACAAAAGTTACGTCCGGAGTAAGTAACTGAAAGTAACTGAGTAAGTAACTAAGTGAAAAGAAGCAAACACCTAAATGAGATATTGTATTAGCGAGTGTTTCGCGCTCAGCTTCCTTCAGAGGTTAAACTGGACAGTTTAATACTTTAGAGCCATGTTTCAGCAGGAAAGAAACCCAGCCGTCGGATGGCCAAAACAATTGCTTTTCGTGTCGGGCTCGTGAAAATATTAGGCTCTGGCGGTAATCAGCCATCTGCGTTAAGTCCTTATTTTGAACCCGTTTTGTGCACGTTCCACACAATGAAAAACATGGCGAAAGAGCCCAAGTACGCGCCCATTCTCCACACACCGCAATTTACTTCTCCCCAATAAAGTACGTAAGGTCATCCATTCTCAACAGACGCGCACGCGAACTAAGCCACTGAAGTCAGCTACAGCGGCGCCGTCTTCGGAATGACGTCTGCTACTAACGCGGGATCGTAAACTTCGGCTCCAAGATATCTGCTACCAAATAGACCGCGCTGCCCACAGTAACCACTTGCTTCGCTCGGGGCAACTTCAATATAGTCTCACAACCAAGCGTGCAACAAGCCTTGTGGTAAATGCCAAGGATTCGCCAGGCGACTGGTTTTCGCTCTCGGCGTTTACCTCTGCAACGGCGCTTCCGACTTTGGCTAGCGTGTTGCCGCATTCACGTTGATACTGGAAGATAGCGTCTGCCGTTGGCTGACTTCGTACGCTGTGTTCGCGTGCTTTTCCGTTGCAGTGGTGGCGGTTACTATATCAAACTGACTTCATCCTGCAGAAGAGACAGCGGGGTGACGAGATCACGTGCGTACTATGACCCTTTCGCATTGCTTTTCAATGAGCGAAAGGAACGTGAAAAAAACGAGTTCGAAATAAGAACTTAGCGCGGATGGCTGATTTTTTCTCAGCGTCTAAAAATTTTGATAAGCCTTACAAGAGAAGTATGTTTTTGGCTCACAATTTATATGAGGCTCCTTGTATACTGCAACATGTCGGTAAACAATCGATGTACCTAAAAATTAATACTTAATTCTACAGACAAATATTCTCACAGAGCCGATGTACCGTAAGCAAAGAAGCACATGTGTTCACAATTAATTGGAATAAAACAGCCAAGAAACCAAGACGGATATCCCGAAACAACTTATATTTACGAGAATTCTACAAAATAAAACCGTGTTCTGATGCGACAGTTATGGAGTTTCGTTAATAAACACGCACCCTAATTAAAATAACAAAAAGTATAATATTGAATTCTAGTCAATTAGTAAATTGGCGGCTACGATTAATCTGCCTAGGAGCCTAACCTATAGGTACAAAAATGGGCTTTACTTAACTGGCTTATCCCTCGTAGTTCTCTTTTCTCATAGTAAAATTTAGTTTTTATCCCCCGGTATGTAAAACAATGAAGAAAAAATCATATATAACATGTCTGTGTTCTTTGAAATATTGCCTACGTTTCCTTTCAAACACGCAATAGTGTTTTGGATAAATTAGAAAAGCACTAAGGTGCGCGTGCGCGAGTGTTGTACGACGCACTGCGTGTGCTGCATTCTGTAGCAGTAAAAACTGTTCAAATACAAAGACCCAAAACCAAATCGCGCTGGACACTCAGGATCATAGGCCTTTACTTCGGTTATTTACTTCAAATCTTCTATGCAGATAGGGGGATCGCGAGCAGCGCGTGTACTTGTGCTCCCAGCATTCTCCTTGGTGCCTGGGTAATTTATTGCTATATTACCCAAGCATCAAGCAGAATGCCGGGATTGGTGTTCCACGCGCCGCACGTGCTGGCCTTGGCAATAGTAACGTTTCTAAAGCAAATACCTAAAACAAACGGCATCTTGCACGCGCGCTCGTCAACACTTTATTTTAGCTATTTATTTTCGAATCCTTTATACGGGGAAGGCGTGCGCGTGTGGTGCGTGGAACACCAATCCCTGCATTCTCTTTGATGCTTGGGAGATGTAGCAAATGATCTCTTGGTACACAATCTCAAGAGGTCGGCGCGATCGGAAAACGTCGGGTATGGTGGGAACGAGAGTAGCGCAGTTGCTCGCCTGCCTTCACCCACTCGCATGTGTTGCCTTTCTCCGTCGTTTGATTTCGGAACACGGAGATTGCGCTGAGTGTTTTGCAAACATATATTTTAATCAAATGTGCTCCCGCTTACTTTTTTTTTTCAAGAATCTACGGTGGTAGAAAATGTTGAAATAGATTTTGTCGTAACGGCCCTATATCTCTCGAATCCTGAGGAAATACGTGTTTTGTGTACAAAAAACCGTAACTAGTTAATATTGGCCCTAATCTGAGACTGCGTAATTTACTATATACTGCAGAACACACAGGGTACACGTTAGCCGCTTCGCAATACATTATTCGGCATAAAACAAGTTAATGCGTCATGATAAGCCGGTCGTAAGCAGAGCTTCACCTCCCACTTTACGAGAACAGAATCAATTGACAATATCTCTAAACTATGTTCCAGTCACTTTACTTTAACAGTCAGGCAGGATAGGAAGTTTAGATGCGCATAGATCCTTATTTGTATAAAGGATTTACCTGGAAACACCAATATTACTTTTTAAGGGTAACACAAGATATATACGGGTTACATATGTCTTCTGTAATTATTTAAATATTATTAGACTAATAAAAGACTAACTCCGCTAGTAATTTCGTGAACCTTATTTCTAGTGAAATGCTCCACTATTTCAATGTAAAATATTTAGCGGTGTGCTTAAAAATTGATTTAAAACGTAAATATTATCAAGAATTTTATAGCTTTTAATGACATTAACTTTACTGTCCATTTTTGTCTGATAGCTGTTTACTATCATTATGTCACATATTGGTGATATTCGTTTATAAGTGATGTTAAGGCATGTATATAGTATAATAGCAACCTTTTAGAACTGACTTCTGCGCGAGAAAGGTATAAAATTACTCTTATTACTTTATACAATATTTTTTTTTACAAATTATGTGTTTACTATAAACTCACTTTATTTCACTTCATAACTCGATTCGCCTTATTTTTAAACTGCCTAATACCATAACAATAATAGTAAACATTTTAAGTCATTCCAAAAGTTCCGGTTAGGAAACATAATAATAATAATCATTTTTATTTTCATGTTTTCAAGCATCACTAAGCATAATAAGTGGATCTTAACCGCAGCAATGAAGAGAACAAAAACACGTACAAGCAGAAAGAAAAGCACGGTCATAACCATGCACACAATAGTGGCTAGATCGTTCGTCGAAGAGTGTTCGTAACAGAAGAAATATCTATTACAGATGATTAGTCTAGATTGTTGTACTAGTGTTGCATTCTTGTAATTGGCGACGTATATCGTACAAAACAAGAGCCTCAAGGGGTGTCCATTTTGTCACAAAAATATTGGAACGATATTAGCAGAATTAAGTAATATCTGAAAATCGAATAGCACTAGTGCTATTGATACGATATACCAGTTTTATATTTCTTAGTGCTTCGTGAATCCTGTTCTAAAATGGACACAATGAGACAAGCATCTGTAAGCGACATAATAAGAAATAATAATGGGGGATTACATTTTATTCCCAAAACAGCCCCTTCTACCGAATATGTAGTTTATCCAAGGCTTCTTGACGAAAGAGGACTGGACGTTGAGAGGATACTGTACATTCAAGATGACATAGTTCTTAGGTTGCAAAAGAACACAGTACTCGGCGAAAGGTTCACATTTAGCGAGACCGTGAATGGAACACGAGAGGACACAATTGTAAGTACACTCTTGTATGTAGTCATTACGGTAAATATGGGTTTATTGTTCATATGAAATCTTTTTTTTTCTTTGTATTAATTATGTCCACATAGCTGTTAGAGCTGGATTGGTCGTCATGTGGGCGGAGTAGCCTGCTGACATTTTTAAAAACGAGAGTAACTTATGAAAAATGAATCGCGTGCAGGACAAAGAGCGACACGGACAAAACTTCACTAGCGGCATACTCTCATCTCCATGTTTAATCCAGTCACAAAAAATACTAATGGTACTTTTATTTTTGCAGTCGTTTTGATACGGCCACTAATTATATTCCAGCTTTATAAATATATATCTAGCCATAGTTATGTTTTTATCAATGCTGCTATTTATATTAGTTTTATACTACTTGCGTTTTATAGATTATTTTATATACAGGATTTCCCGATAACATACACCAAACTTAAGAAGAAAAGAAAAACAGTACGCATCGCAGGAGTGGAAACAACTGTGGGCTTTTGGCGAGTGCCTCACGAAAGTGCAGCAAATTTTTAGTGCGTCTAGGTGTTTAATAAAATAAGACTCACTAGCTACATTTATAATAATTTGTATGGAAAATTCAATAGCGCAGTGAGAGGCAGCCAATTAAAGTGTTTAAAATGCGATACGCTTTGAGGGCCTTTTCTTCAGCCTAAAGAAAAAAAGTACGCGAAATGTGGAAATGTACGAAGTGACAACGCATATGCGCGCTGCATCTGCAGCGCTTTCAAAAGTGCCCTGAAGGAACGAAGTCCTCCTTATCGCTGGTGCCGCTTTCCGACACAAGGCGTTTTGTCGGTGTGGGCCCCGAAGATAGGCGTGAGCTCCTACTGCCGCAAAGCCGTGTCTCGTGCAGCGAGCCAGTGGCTGGGTTTACATGAATGCGATCGGAGCACATCAAACCGGGCAGGGACAAATCACAAGCACCCTTTCTCTCCATTTCTTCCACATCCACCCATCTACCCCCAATTAAAATAGTCAAATCTCAATTCCATACGCTACGGCGCATACATGTAAACCCAGCCAATGATAAGGTGAACATCATTCTTTCAGATCAGAGAGCTCTACAAGCACGACGCGAGGCCGAATTATCACTGGTCCTTTTTTTTATATTTCGCGGGCTTTCTTTTGAGGCTAAACAAAGAAGCGCGCAAAGAATATCAGGTAGCAAACACCTTAATTGGGTGCTTCTCAAAGCGCTCTACAAATTTTCAATCACACCTCGGCCTTAAACGAATAATTAAAAACTTATATATTTAATTTTAAATAATAAGAAAACTAGGCTCACTAAGAAAAAACTTGTGCACTTTTATAAACCATTTAATTGTCAAGAACGTACAACTGGTTTTACTCCCGGAAAGTGCTCAGCCTTTTTCAAGGTTTAGTACATATTGTCTGACCGTGTGTTTTATACGATTGTTTTTAAGCTGTGAATGCTACGCTAATACGGCTTGTGCAGATGAGATATACAACCAGGGGGGCATACTATAAGAGATCATTGTCACTAAAAGCAAAACAATTATCTAAAATGGGGTCGTTAAGTTTTTTTAATTATTGAAAATAAGCATATGGTTCCCCGAGAAACTTGCTGAGCGCCATCGAAAGCCATAAATCAGTCATTTCTAGAAATGCAGGGAGTTTATGAGCAAAGAAAAACGTGTTTTACTGCCTGAGTAGATAAACTATGCATCGTAGAAAGCTCAAACTCCAGAAAACATGGGATATAACCAGAAAGTCTGAAAATATGTTGTTACCTGGATCAAATGAGATAGTTGAGAAAAAAACACAATTTCTTAATGAGCCGACGTGCACCTAAGCCTAATATTGTCAAAACACAACTCGGCATTGTAGACGCTTGTGGGATTTATATCAGCGTAAAACCCGTGTCCGCAAGAAAGAGGACATTATTTTCTTTCTTGCAGACAATTTTGTATCACTGAAATATATGCAACAGCTTGGTGTCCAAAATGTCATATTCTCATGGAAAAAATGTCTTTGTCACTTATCGTTTGATCCAGGTATTACGTCATGTTCTTCATCCAACTTTCACGTTCTAAAGCAACCGCTAGCGTTACATTCTGGCGAAGTTTGAAATTTCGGCGACGCATAGTTTATCTACTCAGGCTGAAAAACACTGTTTTCTCTCCACGAAAAGTTCCTGTGCCTTGAGCGCGTGGTAAGCGCAGACGTGCGTTAAATTTTCCGCTCGCCTAAGAGGCACAAGGCTGGCGGTGAGTAAACGCGGATGCATATAGGAAACGAAGAAACCTCGCGTGCGCGTTACGTTACCGGTACCCTTGCTCCTCCAGCACGACTTGTAAATTTGGCGCCCCACCGTCCTTCCCACGTGCTCCAGGGCGTTCTAAAATCGACTGCTTTTGTGTGTTTTTCAAAAATGCTCGACGAGTTTCTAATTGGAAACATATGCACGTTTTCACTAATGTTAATTCACATATTTTAGTTAATTAGCGGCATTATCCTGACGGCTAGTCAGCTAGATGACGCCCTTTTGCCAAAAAACACCTGCACAAAAACCATATACACTCTAAGAAAAAAGCGTGCCAACTAGCACCTTTTAGGGTTCTTTCGCTTGTCCAATGGGCGGCACCCTTAAAGGTGCAGAAAAGAACCCACAAAAAGGGTTCTTTCTAATGAACCCTATTTCGGGGTTCTTTTCGGATCGTTTATTGGTTCTTCTTAATGAACCCTATTTTTGGTTCTTTTCAGAACGCTTCTGGGTTCTATTTAACGAACCCTATTTAGGGGTTCTTCTAGGATCCTTTTTTGGTTCTTCCTAATCAACCCTATTTCGGGTTCTTTCCCGAACCCTTTTTGGTGCTCTTGATGAACCCCATTTCGGGTTCTTTCTAGAACCGTTTCTGGTGCTCTTAATGAACCCTATTTCAGGTTCTTTCCAGAACCGTTTCTGGTGCTCTAAATAAACCCTATTTCAGGGTTCTTTTCGTATCCTTTATTGGTTCTTCTTATTGAACCCCATTTGGGTTCTCTCCAGAACCCTTTTTCGTGCTCTTAATGAACCTTATTTCGAGGTTCTTTACGGTTCCTTCTTTGGTTTTTCTTCATGAACCCTATTTCATGTTTTATTTGGAACCCTCCTTGGTTCTTTTAATAAATCCCGAGTTCTTTAGATTATGTTGGCGTTATTTTAGTAAACCATATTTTGTACTTCTAACCCTCTCTTATGACAAATAAGTTTTTTTTACATTCCTAGTTAGTTTTAGTAAATCGTATTTCGTATTTCTTGCTTTACAAGGTGCATTTTTTTCTACCAACCAAAGTGTCTTTAGATTGTTCATTAATCGCTAGCACTGGGCCTTTTCGACAGATTGACAAACATCAGTCTGGCCAGAGTCAACACACTTCATTCCTGTACGTCATTAACTAGGTGACAGACAGAACAGTAAACATCATGTCCAATCATATACTTTATTGGAGTAGCAAAAATTGATTCTTCTGTTCGCAGTAAAAAAGCTAACAAAATTCGAAACAGTTTCAAGACGAGACGGATATCACTGCCAGCAATGTGCACACAGCTTCTACTGTCGTTCTGATGTCGCTCACTGTCAGGACACCGTCCAAAAAGTTGTCAAATTCATTTTCCTGGAGATGGATGAGTGGCATCAGTGTCCGGACTTCCTACAACAAGAAAGCAAGAATATGAACACATGTATTTTCCTCTGTATTATTATGCTGCGAGTTGCTCATTCGCCGCGCTTTCAGATCAATTATAATTGTATAGGTTTCACTAAGCATTTTATTTCTCGTTTAGCCTTAGGCTCTAAAACATACCCGCAGATATGATTTCCTTCAAAACATTTAGTGGGTCAATCAGTGCGATCTAGAGAGCGCGACCAGCGGATGACGAAGCGTCCCCTTCTAAGCTCCCTTCGCTACAACAATGTGTAAAAGCGAAAAATGGTACGCAGCATCAAGCGTTCCCTTTCCATCCAAGAAGTAGTAAAGGAAGAAGATCGGAAGTCAATGAATTACAATATATGTGCAGTACACACGTAAAACAATGCCCAACGTGCCACCGAATTTTCTCTGCTTTTAAAAATGCCCGTGCGTCCACTCGAGGGGCCGATCAATGCAATCTACGAAGAAAACTCGGCCAATGGAGAAGCTGAAAATATGATTGACTTAAAAATGAAGTCTGTAACGTGACACTGAGCATGAAGTCATACGTGAACCGCCATGCTCAGTGACATCTCTCGCTTCATTCATATGTCTAAACACGCTTTGGCCTTTTTATTCGCCGAGCTCTCTTCGTGGATTGGTGTGATTGGCTTCTCGAGTGTTCTGCGGGAAGTAGATGCACAGGAATTTTAAGCATGCTTCTAGAAACGTTGGTTCTACCCATATTTAATCCTTCTTGCCCTACAGTCAGTAACAGGTTAAGAAAAAATCTACAAGCTGGAGAGGAGGAAGCGGACAGAAGCTTGTAGGGGAGAGGAGAAACCTTCGCTCCATTTCAAGCGTCCATCGGCTTTCTTCTTTTAGATTTTTCTTAACCTGTCATTGACTTTAGTCGCTTATATTTTCTCTATATTATTTTTAGAAAATAAAGCAAGGATATGTTTTATATTACTAGCTCGTACATTGAAGATATAACCCTGACAAGTTTGCATTACCATCTGTGACAATGCACTATACTCGGGGGTGACTTGGGCAACTTTTTTGGCAATGTGTAGTCGAAGTTAAAAACGCCCGCGCATCTTAAGCAATCAAGGCTATGCACACGCACTCTTCACTTCAGAAACGCCACAGAAGTTGTTTCTGAGTATAAGTTAACCCTGTCTTAAACGAATGGCCCCGATAAGCGGTCATCAGTTCGTAATGATGTAGTAAGTTAACCCAGCATATTTATGGTGGACGAAGGTAAACCTCTGCGTCGTCGCAGTCTGAAACTTGTGCTAGATTACAAAAACACCAACTAAAGTATACCTTCAAGCAGCTCTTCG